AATTTATAAATACAAGAGATGTCAGAGCAAATATTAATTAGAGCCCATTGTAATTAATATCTCTAGTATTAATTCACAGTAATGTCTGTAACATATTATAAGAACAAGTTAGAGATAAAGTGAATACATATGCACTAGAGACAGTTATACATGCTTGTTGAGAAGCGAATATAAAACCTTGAAAAGGTAGATGAAGTAAAATATTTAATATATGGTATTTCAAGAGTTGAAAAACCATAAGAAATATATCATATATAAAATTTCAAGATTATCAAAAGTTGTAGGGGGATATTGTCCATAGATGAAATTTGCTACGAGTTACCTCATTAGATAAGAAATACTTATAAATGTGGGGGTTTTTAATTGTAATACACCTAATTTTAAAATGATAGTCTCGATATTTTAATTAATGATTTTCTTGTATTTTTATTGAATTATGTGCTTATTTTCTTAATTGATTTATTTGTTTAATTGACTTCGTTATTCTACGTGAATTATATGCTTATCTGGAATGCCATAAATTGTTGATTTGTTTAACTGATTTGTTTGCTTTAATTTAATTAAATTTTGTACTTAGGTGGACTTAAATTAAATGGTTAAATGAAATGTTTTTAAAACGGAGTTGGGCTTAGATATGGAATTATATGGGTACAGTCACTCACTCCTCCGACTACGTATGACTTCCGTTCTTATATTAGTTTTGGATTTTGGTTTTGTATTTTATTCTCAGTTTGGGATTATTAAGGGTCCACTAAATGAATTCTCGAGTTATACGGATTGGAAAGTTTAAATTAAATTAATCTATAATTTATTGAGGATTTTCATATTTAGAATAATTTTCAGCCTTTAAATTTATTTCTTAATTCAGTTGTATTCCTGCTTGTTTACATATTAATTGTTTGGTATCCCTCAGAGCTGTGCTCGGACTTGATCATCCATGGCTCTAGAATTAAGAGGTATCACATTAATCTTAAGAGATTTTGGATAGAATCAAAAATTATTTATAGTATTATAATAATGTCTATGTTGTTTCTTACGAGAAAAATATTATGGAACAACTAGAAGAGTTCTTTTTCCAGCTGAAGAGCCTAGTTATTTATTGTAGTTGAAGAATCAAATGTGCAAGCTTATAAGTCCTTGAGTGGATTAAAGCTGGTACTGAGATAATGACATAGATGTGATGCATAAGTCATTATATGCCTTAAAAAATTGATGATATATTAATAATATATTTGATATGAAAGATTTAACATCTGATAACATAGTATTTTCTCAATAAAGTGAGATTAAGATAATACTAGTTATGATAACTAAAGCCTAGCTAACTCTGGTAAATGTAAGTCTCAAATACAAATACTAGTCAAAGTATATCACTGGTTAAGATTGCAAGGCATCTTAATAATTGTGATTAATTGCACACTTTCAATCCAGGATAGGATCACTGAAAAGCAATAAATTGGGTAGTTGAGATACACCTTAAGCCAAATATTGCATAAATCGAGGTATCTAACTAAATTGAAGGTGCAACAGTGATGCAATCTGGATGTGGGATATTAAAGACTTCAAATCCAAGAGTAGATGTCTTTAATATTAAAGGTGTAGTAATGTTCTTAATATAACTCAAAGTTAGAAACTTTGAATAAATCAAATAGGAAAGTCAATAAACTTTACCTAGAGGACATTTCAAAATAAGTTTACATCAGTGCCACTAAAGAAAAAGGATATTCCTAACAATAAACAATTTTAGGGTACAAAGTATACAGTTGCTCTTAACTGGAGAAATCTCTACAGAGTGTAATATTTTCAAACATAACCTTATGGTCACATATAAAATTAAGGGTTGTACTAGAGAGCAATTGTACTGATCATCGAGAGGAATGGGATTAAAAGTCGAAAGCTAACGAGTTATCTTAATGGAAACCCAACCTAGCTGACTGGAGATCCCAAGATCTAGGTTCAAAGGGACAATAGAAATTCTGAATGACTCACCAGAAGCACTGGGAAGATATAAATCTTCTACCCATTTCTATGATGAGATAGTGCTACCTACAATGATGATTAGGATAAGCTACGTTTTCAATGACTCTTATATCTTGAAAATTTAAGTGGGTTATGGTAGAATATTTTTAATAAGAAGTCACCTATATAAGTGTGAGGTGGGGCCTCTTCTATAAGAACTATAAAGGCTAAGTTTTCTGGAGCACTCATTGAATACCAGGAGTTGTTCAGGGCCAAAATGAACACAACAATGAGAATCAACTTTGTGAGGAAGGGTACTGTGTGTTTGTTATTGTCTTGGTTTACACAAAAGGCTGAACAGTTCAAGACATTACGTTTATTGGTTAGCTAATAAATTCGATAGCAATACACTAAGAAAGGTTCAAGGTCAAAAGCTACCTAGGCCAAAAGTGGGGTGTGTTGTTGGTAGATCAAGGTATAAAGTATTCGTTGGGGACGCATAATGAGTGCTTATTTTATACATATTTTATCTCTAAAATTATATTTACTAGTACTTTATTATATATTATTTTAATTAATAAATAGGTTTTTATAACTTTTCAGGAAATTGATAATTTTCACACTATAAGAGATTAGTGACGTTATTTTAAGCAAATTGAGCAAAAAAAATGTCAAAGACCATCCGAGTGTATCCAAAGGGTTGAGATCGCATATGGTGAATTCTAAAAAAAATTTGTAAGGTTTTTCAGAAAGTAAAATTCGTTCAGGGAATTTATTTTGAATAAAGGAAATTTTCATATTCACGTTGGGAAATAAATTTCTGGGCTAGCCTCTCAGTAATTCAGTTATGAACTTTTGAGTTGATATTGGAATTGCACAAACATAACGGCTGTGGAAAGAAGACTTGAAGCATGTCATTTTTGTATCTAATAGGAGTAACAAGTTCGTGATTCGTACTTCAAGAAGGTCTGGGCAGCAATCCAATATAACTAATTCTGGCAGATTTCTTCTCCACCTATTTCATTCTTCCTTTCTTTGAGAAAATCCAATATACATGTACGTAAATACTATATTGGTGAATGCATGTAAACTACTTGAGAAAATTAACTTTATCAGTTCCAATGGCGGATTTAAGGCAGGGCTGGGCTGGGCTCCAGCCCACCCAAAAAAAAAAAATTATTACTATGGCTTTATTTAGCCCAGCAAAAAAAATAAATAAATAAATAAATGAAATTAATTATTAGTATTAGCCTACCCAAACAAGTGCAAGGCTAAAATAAAAGCTCAAGCCAAATAAGGTCTAATACATGAACTAGTGTTATGGTCCTAGCCCTAAGAATTGCAATTCCCAGACCTGTGTTCTCATCTCCACAACTCCACAGGTCCACCATTGTCCTCCTCTGGCCTAAAATATTTATATAGATTATGTTATAAAAAAAATATATATATAAAAATTATGTTATAAAATCTAGTTTCATGCTAATTTTTGGCCGATTATACAAAATGCCATTATGAATCGTTGGTGTAAAATGGGCTGTTTTTATTTTTGATCGATTTGATCTTACTTTGGTATATTGGTTACACAATTTCTTATCAGATTTATTGTAAGAAGTATATATTGGTCCTTCTAATCCAATAATATTCAAATATTTGGGGTTGCTCTTGGAATAAAAAAAGCGCTTTTATCATTAGAGTTGTCAAAAAATTGTAGTTAATAATAAGCAGCAGGTGTTTGGTGACACAATATAATAAGTATTTTTCACAATTAAATTATTTTTTAATTTATTTGGTAATAAATTTTTTTTAAACACTTCTATGGCTAATTTTACAATAATATCCTTTAATATTATGTTACCATATTTAATAATAGCAACTTTATTAAGGAAGAAGTGTAATTATCTTTATAAAAAATTAAAAGAACAAAATTATCTAATGAAAAAAAGTTACCTAAAATATTCAACTTTTACTCCGAACACAATTTTAAAAGCTCCAAATCTAACTTAATTTAGTTCAGTAGACCATTTGAATTAAATTTAAAAAAAAAAAAAAATTTAATTCAAATGGTCTACCGAACTAAATTTGGTAATCATTTAAAGCACTTATAATTTTTACCCAACACATTTAAACGCAAATTTTCAGAATAAAAGCATGGACTCTAAGAATGCAATTTTTATTCAAACAGAGTATATTAAATTATATTTGAATATTGTTTTAAAAGAAAACAGTGCATGCAATTTTTATTAATTGCAATACATGTGTAGCCTCTGCCTTTGGTAGCCTCTTTTAGGGATGTTTATTTGATGTGTTAATCTGTGAAACCAATGCATGCAGATTGGATTGTTTTTTAAGCATCACGGTTCGGTCATGAATTGATAAACACGTAATTCGCAATTGACAAATTAATTAACGAATTAGGCTCTTAAAAAGTCGAGAATCCGTTCAAATTTATTATATATATATAATTTTATGATGAAAAGAAGTGTCATTGGATCCTCAAATTTTACATGTAGTGGTGGTATCTCTCTCCAGAAAGTTATTGGTAACTCTACAACTTCTCTTAACCATTATTTTACTATTCTTCATTGATTATCCATTTGCTACTGATAATTTAAGGGTTTCGTTTCATTCCCAAACTGGCAAAAAGATCAAAACCTTCACAGTATGAGTAGTCAAACCCATTTTATGAAGTCTCTGAGAAATCAAAATCGATTTGATTTCACTAACCTTGACGATGCACTTGCATTGTTTGATAAAATGACTCAAATGCGACCTCTTCCTTCAATTGTGCATTTCACTCAATTGTTAGGGGCCATTGTGAGAATGAAACATTACACCACTGCAATTTCTTTACTTAATCAAATGGAATCCTCAAGAATGGTAGAGCCAAATGAGTATACTCTAGGCATCTCAATGAATTGTTACTGCCATTTGAATCGGGTTGATTTGGGTTTCTCTGTTTTGGGGAGAACTTTGAAGCTTGGTTATGAAGTGAACAGTGTGATGCTCAACACTTTGATGAAGGGACTGAGTTGATTAATGACATGGGGGCAAAAGGATTTCGACCTAATACAGTTACTTGCAGAACGATTATAAATGGGTTGTGCAAAACAGGGAACACCACCGCAGCTATTAAGTTGGTTAAGAAGATGGAAGAGAGAAATTGGGAAACCAATGTCATTGTCCATAACATGATCATTGACAGTCTTTGTAAGGAAAGATTGGTTGCTGAGGCTTTTGACTTCTTTTCGAAAATAATACATAAAGGCATTTCTCCAGATGTTATTACTTACAACTTCTTAATCCTTGGCCCATGCAATTCAAACCAGTGGAGAGAGGCTACAAAATTGTTAAATGAAATGGTGAACCGAAAAATCAAACCGAATGTAAGAACCTTCAATATATTGGTGGATGCAATTCGTAAGGAAGGGAAGGTTGTAGAAGCAGTAGAAAAAGTTGAAGGGATGATGCAAAGAGGTGTGGAGCCTAATACAGTCACTTACAATTCATTTATGGATGGATATTGTTTGCAAAGCAAATTTCACAGGCAAAGAAGATACTTGATTCGATGGTTGGTAAGGGTTGTGCCCCTAATGTTCAGAGCTATAACATCCTGATTAATGGATATTGTAAGAAGCAAAGAATGGATGACGCTTTGAGACTTTTTCACGAAATTTCCCAGATGGGATTGGTCGCTGATACTGTTACAACACTCTTTTTGGTGGTTTCTGCCATGCAAGAAAACCTCTAGTTGTACAACAATGACGTAAGCGGGAGCGATAAATTTGTTCACGAGTAGTTTGAATCCACAAACTAGAAGAAAATTCACAAAGAAATATAATATTTCTATTGATAAAATTGATTGATCCTCTGCTATCGCAGTATATGTTTTTTATAATACAGAAAACCTAACGCTAGAAGGAAACTAAAATATAATCCTATAAGAAAACTAATTCCTGAAGGAAAATAAAAATATAAGGAAACAAAATTAAAAATATAAAGAAATTATCTAAAACTAAAAACTCTCTAAAAGTATAAAATAAAAATAAACTAATAAACCTAATTAAAAAAATACTAAAATCTATTCTACATCAGTTTCCTTCACTTAAAAAAAACTTATCCTCGAATTTAATCGAGTTTAATCATATATAAGAATGAATAAAATTCTTGCCTTCACTTTGCAATGTTGAAGCGCGCTGGATGCATTCAATGCTAATTTCTTGCAAGTACCATAAGGTTTTACTCTCACTTGTGCGTATCCAATACTAACTCCAAGCTCCATAAAGATACTTGACTTTTCACATGTCAATAACGCAACAGAATTGCTCAACAGTTCGTCCATAATAGGAACCTGAATAACCACTTTCTTAAGCAGAGGAACAAAAGACAATGGCCCATTAATATCATCACACGATAGCATGCAACCCACCTCAGTGTTGGGTAACAAGAGTTGCAGCTCTAATGCAATTGAAGTCGAACACGTGTCTTTGGAACAATTCCAATCACTTGATTTTGGATTATCAACAACATCCACAGTATCACTAACTACTGCTACATGTTGCACAACATCGCCATTAACTTGACGTGTTGTGGCGGTAGGACCAGATACCATATCATCCTCTTGGGCTTCGGATGGAATCTGCTCTTTGTAAGGTAACAGAAATTTTGACTTCAAAAGTTGTTTCATCTCCAACCAAGATTCTACGGGTGCTTTTCTTTGTTGTGCACGTGAAATTCGTAACTGTTTCTATCAATTAAAAACTATTCCTTTCAATTTATACGCGACTAATGCTACCTTATTCTCCTCTTTAATTTTCATGCAAAGAACTTCTCAAAATCTTCTAACAAATTCAAAAAAAAATTCAATATGAAATAAACCATCAAAATTAGGAGGAAATTTCCTAGGATCATAAGAATATATTCGTGTGTCTTTAAGATCCCCAAACACGTCTTCAGTGTCATCTTTATCATCATCATTACTGAATTCATCCTCGTAGGCTAGCTGCCTACTAGGCGGGATGGGGTTGCGATTCCGAACCGGACTAACGCAATCTTCGTCAACGTTTCGCACCCTATTGTTCTCACGATTTTGCTCCAACTCAAACCTAGCAATCATTGTTTGAATATCTTACAATGTTCGCCGGGTTTTACATTGATGGCCTTGTAATTCGACTCTAAAAGAAGCCACTCTCTGTCGATCTTCGTTGCTAACGAGGTTGCCACGAAAACAATCATCTGCCATCAGACCAGGAAAAGGCAAGACTCTAATACGAGGAAGCGATAAATTTGTTCACGAGGAATAGGTTACCTTGAATCCACAAGGTGGTGCAATTTGAATTCACAAACTAGAAGAAAATTCACAAAGGAATATAATATTTCTATTGATAAAATTGATTGATCTTTGCTATCGCAGTACATGTTCTTATAATAAAGAAAACCTAACACTAGAATGAAACTAAAATCTAATCCTATAAGTAAACTAATTCCTGAACGAAAATAAAAATATAAGGAAACAAAATTAAAAATATAAAGAAATTATCTAAAACTAAAAACTCTCTAAAAATGTAAAATAAAAATAAACTAATAAACCTAATTAAAAAAATACTAAAATCTATCCTACATCAAATAACTTCTGAATGAGATGCGACCCGTGGGCAACATCCTAATCTTGTGACATACTCTACTTTGTTAAGTGGATTGTGTAAGAACCAATGCCGCTGAGGCAATGGCCTTGTTTTGAGAGATGAAAAAATGTGGATTGCATCCTAATATTGTGGTTTACAACATCCTCATTGATGGTATGTGCAGAGCTGGAAGCATTAAAGATGCAAGGGAAATCTTTTATAGTCTTCCTTCCAAAAGGTTGCAACCTGATGTTCACACATATACTATTATGATCAATGGACTTTGTAAGGAAGGGTAGTTTACTGAAGCAAACATGCTGCTCAAGAAAATGGAAGAGAGTGGTTGCTCTCCAGATGGTTGCACTTACAACATAATTGTACAGGGATTTCTTCGAAACAATGAGAAGTTAAGGGCAATGCAACTTCTTCAAGAGATGGTTGAGAAAGGATTCTCTACCGATGCACGTACTACGACCCTTTTACTAACTGTATTAAATAATACTATATTGGATCAGTCAATTTTGGAGATGCTTAATAAGTTTCTGTGATCTCTATAGGGTTTTCTGATGTTTGGTTGAAGTCTCATATTTTGTTCGCCTAGCAGTTTGATGTAGGTATGGCCAGCATCAGCGTCTTCGTCATTTTTTGGGTAAAATTATTGTTCCATGAGTAGTACGAAGGAGCGAACCTGAGTCGGGTGATGTTTGTATTGAACTGGTTGACTAGATAGGATAAGGAAGGCGACTGGGTGATAATGGTGTTTCAAGGGTCCCAAGGAGACACAGAAACTTATGTTCTGTAGGGGAAGCATACTTCAGGGCCTTGGAATTTTGTGCTAGCGTTCCTCCATGGTTAAAAATATGCCAGTGTTTTGTTGGATATCTGCTATTGTTATAAGTAAATCAGCAAATCAAAAGGTTCTGTAGTTTCTATTCATGTTATGTGCTTCAACTGTTGAACATATCTCATTGTTGAACTACTTTACCTTTTTTTTTTTTGGTTTAAATAATAAGTGAATGCCATATATCCAGGTTCTATGATTCTTTTATGGCAAGTTGATTTTGTAATTTTTTTTGCCGGTAAAGATTTTGTAAAATAAGAGGTTTGAATATGTCGACTTAAAAATAAAAGAATTGGTACATGTGTAAATTCTCTATTTTGAAATTTGAAGATGACTACTTTTACTTGCTCCATCTTCTTCTGAACTGAGGGCTGTTACAAATGTTACGTTGTATTTAAATCACTGAATTTTGGAGTTTGGGGGAAAGAAGTGATACAAACTCTTGAGCCCTTGGTTAGTGTTTTTCGTTTTGTTGTTGTGATAAGAATACAATGAATTACAACTGTTGATGCGAAAATTCTCGCGACTCGGAACGATAGCCAGCTGAGGACCCTCCGACGATTAAGTTAGTAATTGTAATCGTATCACATAATAATTATATATATTCTCTTTAGAGGTTTTTTCTCGTACCTTCTTTAATGGCTTGGTGCCCTATTTATGGTTGTCGATTGGAACCAAATTAGTTACGCCGATGTTGATGGTTGAGGTCTCCCCTATCATCAGCTTGTGCGAGATCCATTTGTTGCCAGATTTGTCGAGATATGATTTACTCCTTTGAGTTTTTCAAATTGTGCTAGGTTATCCTTACCCTATTGAACCACGTCGTCTTTCCCTATCCTGAATAAGAAATGTCATCTTTCTTATCCGATGGACAGATAACGAAATATGTCGAAGAGGTCTGGCGGTTGGTTAAGGTAGGTTGTCATCAACATTTTTTAATCTTGAGTATAAGTTTTTATGTTAGAAAATTTGTTCTTACGGGAGAAAAAAAAATAGAAATTAAATTTTATTAGACAGGTCTAACTTTAAATTGAGAATAATATTAGGGTTAGAGTTACTATAGAAGAATAGGGTAACATGCATTTTAATTTATGTTATGGTCTTAGATGGAATGGAATGAAAACATATGATTTATACCAAATTCAAAATAATTGAAAAAAGACTTTAATTGTTATTGTAAGTTCAACTCTACGGCATCAAAGCATTAACTTTGTTCACACCTAAAATAATGACAATGTTAAAAACATCTCATCCCAGTTCTGTAATTTTTTTTTTATATAAAAAAAAAAAAAAAGAACAAAAGTTTATATGTAGATCACTTGTTTTTATTTTTCTAATATGGTGGGGCATTTGTGCATCACTTTTTTAGTCATTTAATTTCCTTTAAAAAAAGTCAAAATTCTTTTTTTTTTTTTTGAATAAAACTCCAATTTTTCTTACTTTCAAAATTCTCTCATTTTTCTTACCTTTTTAATATATATTTTTTAATTATTTATCTTTCTTAAATTACTCTGGACATATTATTTTATTTACCTTTTTATTTGTATATTGAGCCAACTTTGCGTATAAATGAAATTGAAGTGTTTTGTAAAACAACACAAACAAAAATAAATAAATAAAAGGTTAACGTTCAAATGTTGGACAATCTTGAATATGTAAAGATAACAATGATAGCAAAATTTCAGACATTACAAGCACGAGATTTAAAGGCGCGCAGTTTATCTTGACAATCTTAATGATCTTCCTGACCATGCTTATCGTGAGAAAGATTCGAGGATCATACATTGGAGTCAACAAATGAAATTTCTCACGATAATGTTTATATAAATAAGGGTAAAGTGCAAATAACCCCCCTAAACTTTACTCTCTTTCCCTAAAAATTCCCTGAACTATTTTTTTTACAATTAATCCCATGAACTATCAATTTTTTTGCAAAAAATGCCCACCGGCAAAGTTTCGGCTATTTCTCACCGTTAAATGGGGGTGTGTTATTCACACGCGATTACAGAAAATAAAAAATGACAAAACAGCCCTTTATGATTATAAAGGTATAAAAAATCATAAAAAATTCTTGCATAGCTGCAGGCAGTCACTGCCATATAGTGTAGTCTTCCCAAGCACATTCATATATCTACTCATCGGTCAGAACAATACCCTTGGCTTCTCTCTCCATTCCCAAATTGACGGCGGTGGTGGGTGGGTCGCTGCAGTACAATGTCACCATCCCGAGCACATCCAAAGTGAATAGACGGCGGTGGTGGGTGGGTCGTTGTATGTATATAGTAATATAGAAAAAGGGGTAAAAACTCGAAAGAGAAAGGAGTAGGACAGCGAACAAAGTGTTCGACTGCCGGACCGAAACTCACTGCTAGGTTAGACCAAGCTTACCAGAAGAAGATGAACAGAGCTCGTCGTTTGTTCACCGGAGTCGCACGCATGTCTTGGAGCTCACTGGGTGGTCACCGTGACTGGGTCTCAGTCTCATTGTTCTGGTTTTTCTCACTCTTCTGTCATCTCTATCCTCTCTTTTTCCCGCAGCCAGCATCAACACCATGGAATCACCATCAGCAAAGAACTCTCTCAACAGGACCAAAAAGCAAACCCATTTCTCATCTTCATCACCAAACACCACCAAAGCTCATAGCCAAGGAAAGCAGCCAAAACTCTCACCTTTCAAACACCATTCAAGTCCACTTTGCTCATCTTTTTTTGACCACTCACTCTCACCATTCAATTTCAGTACCTCACAACCCTAAAACTGCCATCAATTCAAGCGATTTGGATCCAAAAATAATCAATTCAATTTCTGAAAACTCTACCAATGGTTTCGATAATGCGGTTTCAGCGCTTTAAAACCCAAATCAGCCGAAAATTGCATCGATCATCATCATAGCCGCAGAGCGAGAGAGAGAGAGCTCGGCGGTGTAGAGCACAGTTGTGGAGATGTCGGCCAGTGGAGAGCTCGGCAGTGCAGAACAGCGACTAGAGAAGTCACGATTCCGGCGCAAATCAGTGACTGGCACAGCGGCGATGGATCCGGCGTTGGCATTGGCATTGCCTGACATGTTTGCACGCCGCCGATCCCATCGTCTTCTGCAACGCCGTGAAGAGATTGTTCCCGTCGGTTCCTCTTATCTTCGTAACAATGGCTTGAAAAATTTGTGCCATCGGTTCCTCTACTCTGTGTATGTATTAAATCCACTGTGTATGGATTTGAGTTCTGGATGTATCTATAGAATCACAACAATGAGTGATGGGTTATTTGAGTTTTGGATGTATGTATTAAATCAACTCTATTCAAATAGATGGGTCATGATTCCGGAAGCGGCAAGGAAGGATCCCACCGGCGTCGAATGAACATGGTGATGAAGTAATGGGCAGTGGCGGCGAGAAGTGATTCTGCAACGCCGTGAAGAGACTGTTCCCGCCGTCGGCAACGAGGTCTCGTCAACCTCGCCGTTCTCAACATCGTCAATCTTCGTCAACAAACCTTTTTGGTGAGCATCATATAGACCAGGAGAAACCTTTTTGGTCAACAAACATCGTCAACGATGGGAAAAATAGAGCTTTGAGAGAGAAAGCCTTGCGTATAAGGCCGTGTTTGGCGGAAACAAAGATGAGGTGATAAGGTAATGATGTGTTGTCACAATTCTATTGGATAATTAAGATTTGAGTTAAGACAATACCAATACGACGTAGTTTTACTTAAGGGTAATATTGTAATCTTTTTTTTTTTCCGGTGCCGGAACCTCACCTAATGTCCTTAATTACAACTTTATCATAGTTCAGGGGGGTAATTGTTAATTCAGAGGGGTTTTGTGCAATTGGCTAAAAGTTCAGGGGGCTTATTTGCACTTTACCCTATAAATAATGACCACCATTCTTAATAAGCTGGTTAGTTCTATTGTGAGCATTCATCAAAAATTTAGAAACGCTACCTTGATTTTGACAAGCATATATTGTTATAACTGTGGATGGATTTGAATATTTTTGGGACAATCTTGCTGTTATGAATCAACTATTTTTAATTTGTTTATTTCTAATTAATTTTGACATTCTTATGATAATGTGACAAAATGAATATACTTTGTTTATTATTATTATTTTCTATTCTGTCTTCCTCTTTGAATGAAATAAGGCATAAGTGAAGAAAAATGCGAGGCCAAATTTTTAATCCCGAACATTTAAATAAAAAGTATTATATATATATATATATATATATATATATATATAAAAGTTGGCAAAAAATTCACGTACCTTTTTGTTCATACGAAATTTGAATCATAACCTTTCGGAAAAGAGAGAGGTAAGGATGTCAACGGGGTGTGTTCAGGACAAGACACTCTTTTCCAAAATTCGTCCCAACAATGAAAATCTTTTCCTAAACTCAATTCTGGGTGCACGGCATTGGAGTTGGGTTGGTTTGGGGTGCCTTGATATATACTTGTTTTGAAGAAAAACATTTCAAATTATTTAGTATAATAAATTTTTTAATAATTATAATTACAAAAAAGTTCTTAAAATTTAAAATAATTATAAGAAATGGAAAAAAAAAAAAAAAAGAAGAAAAGAAAAGAAAAGAAAAGAAAAATCATAACTAATAAAAGAAGATTTTGTATATATTAATTTTAAATCGGGCGGAGACGATTATTACAAACCCCCCATTCTAATACCCATTCTAATAAGGGCAAAGTATAAAAAATCTCCCTAAACTCTAATTTTTTATCGAAGAACCCCCTTCAACTATTCCAGGGGGTAAAAGAGTGGATACTTGGACCAAAATATCCTTTTATATAAATCATAATTCTCCCAAACTTATAAAAAATTATATTTCACAAACCGTAAATTTAAAAATTGTAAATAATATATGCACGAAAAATTTATGAAATAAAGATTCTAAAAATATAAGATTTGTGCAACAAACCTCTATAATTAGAGAAAAATAGGCAATCTAAAAATATGTTCCAACAATCTTATTTTATTTTTTAATAAAACTCTGGACGTTTGTAAGAAATTTTTTTGACTTATTCATTTACATATGGAACATAGCATATAAAATATTTAGCCCCACAAAGAATGGTTTCTATGAGATATTATATTTTTGCATCAAACTATTTTTATGTTTTTTTTATAGACTCGTCATTTAAAAAAAAAATTCAAAATAAATATTCAGTCTCTGTTGAGACTAATTTTTTTTTTTTTTTTTTTTTGTTTTTTTTATATGTTATGCTTCATATGCAAATGAATAATTCTAAAAATTTTCTTACAAATAATTTGAGTATTTTTTAAAAATAAAATTATTATAATAGATTTTTGAAATTCTTATTTTATAAACTTTTCATGCATATATTATTTATAATATTTGAATGTACCATCTTTGAGATATGAATTTTTAAAATTTAAAAAAATTATGATTTAATTAAATGGGTATTTTGGTCCTAGAACTCTTGTCCCCTTCTAATACTCCGTAATAAAGACGGACCAAGGTGGGCCTAATGAGACCCGACCAGCGAGGCGAGTTAGACTTTCTTACCTATATGTAGAGGTACTATTACACCATCTAGGGTATATTTTTGACCCCTATCCTTCACTCTCTCTCTCTCGCCCTAGATTTTTTGACCCCCATCCTTCACTCTCTCTCATCATCTAGGGCACTCTGATTCGTGTAATCAGAGTGCCCTAACCGCCGCTGCCCTAACAGCCTTCTACCGGCGGACAGTTGGACGGATCGGAGAACTACCGCCAGTCTCTCCGTCACCGACTACGGCGCCGTAGGAGACGGCCTCCAATACCACACCCGCCACATCCATGACGCCATCAACGCCTGTTATGCGGCCGCCGAAATATCAACTACCACCATCTTCAAGCGTGAGTGCTTTGCTCTCTCTAACACACACACACACATATATATATATTCGACTGTAATTTGAATTTTTCAGATTTTGAAACCCTATTTTTCTTGGAACAGTGGCGGCGACTACAAATGTTGAGATTTTTCTTTTTATGAAGATTTTGAAGGGGATTTTGAAGGGGAGAGAGAGGAGAGAGAAAGGGTGTTGGATGAAGATTTTGAAGGGGAGAGAGGAGAGAGAAAGAGGGAAAAAAAAATTACATATTGGTTGGTCGGTGTTGGTGGTGGTGGTTCATGCCAACTGTTTTTTCTTATCAAATTCATATCAGTACAACTATCTCTCCCTATCTATTGCCGGCATTCACATCTTTTTCCTATAATACAACCATCTCTCTCTCTTGTATTTTGCTTCAGTTATTCTTTTCCTCCTTCCATAGGTGTTTGAAACAAACACGAGTGTCAACAATAACATTAGGCTCCTCACCTCTTTGAATCATCACTTCAACTATTTCTACTGCTTCTGCAATCTTCCCTTCCTCACAAAGTGCATCCACCAATATAGTGAATGTTCTTACATTCAGTTTGATTTTTCGGTTCACCATTTCATTCAATAGTCTTTTAGCCTCTTTCCACTGGTTTGAATTGTGTAGGCGGGAGTTGTAATTCCCTCCCCGAGAGAGGAAAGGCTTGTTGGTCTACCAACTGTTAGTGTTCAAGATATGGATATGGGTGTTCAAGATATGGGAGAAATGTTAATGATTGTATCTGAAAGAACAGAGGTGATGATGGTGGTGGTGCCATAGATAAGAATGTGTTGATAGATTCTAGATTGGAGGGATGTTTATACTTGCAACTTATTAGCCTATGCAATTCAAACCAGTGCAAAGAGGCTACAAGAATATTGAATGAAATGGCACACCGAAAAATCAAACCTTCACTATATTGGTGGATGCACTTTGAAATGAAGGGAAGGTTGCAGAAGCAATAGAAATAGTTGAAGTGATTATTCAAAGAGGCGAGCAGCCTAATTCACCAATTGATGGATGTTAAGAGCTATAACGGATATATTGTGAGAAGAGAAGAGTGGCGGAGGCTCCCAAGGCTTTTTTTCAAGAAATTTCCGATGGGATTGGTTCCTAATACTGTTACTTACTCTGGGTGGTTTCTCCCATGAGGGAAAACCTCTCCTCTTATCTTATCAGAGTCTACTTTGAGTATACTTTCTTTTCATGTGTTTTTCCATATGTGATATGGGTAAGAGCAGAGAAAGAGAAGGTGGTGTCATGTTGATATGTGTAAGAGCAGAAAAAGAAAAGGAGAAGGTGTCATGTTGTGATGTCAAGCGTGAACCATCTTTTGTCCAATTAATAAATGTAGCTGTTGGTTGTTTTTA